AATACCTTTACATTTCTGTGTGTGTATGACATGATGATAGTTTTACTCAAATGAAACGGTCAAATGCTCATGACCAGAGCAGTTCTGGAGATGTTGTTCATGTATTTATGTCCTCATTTAGTGAGACGGTAGACGTTAATATCACCGGAAGCGTTGCGCGCGCTTCAGTACGAGTGGTAAGCAAAACCGCACGTCTGCGCCATTCATTAACACAGAGACACGCAGAATTCATATTTAAATAGTCGTTTTACGGCTTAATATTTACAAATACTAGTGGGAGTGTGCTCACTTGTGTGTGTGCGCACGTATGTGTGTGAGTGTGCGCGCGCGCATCGGGGCGGAACTCCGCTGTGCGTGATGCAGAGAGTGCGACCAAGTAACGTAGAGACCGAAATTACATGCCATCGTGTAAATAAGATAAATAACATTAAGGCTATTTCATTTGTTTAATAAAAGAACAAGGTACAGACCTGTTCTATCGGAAATGTAACTTTAAATGACTTCTGTTGTGATCTGGCGGGCCACCCCCCTAATATAATGGCAGGGGAAACACTGAACTGTATTATTAAATGGAACCGAGTCAACATGAATAGTTGTATTTTTTATTTTTTTTTACAAAGAATAATAACTTCTGTAACAAAGGCTATTGCTCATTGTTAATGTTAACAAATTAACTAAGGTTAACTAATGAGATCTTTTTGTAAAGTGTTACCTATTGTTCTTTATAATACTTTTGCACTTTAATCTGTTTGAAACATTTGTTTACTTTATACATTTTTGTGTATTGCTTCATTGTATTTAAATGTTTAGATCTTCTTGTTATAAGAAAAAAACATTAAACCTGTTATTTAATGACAACACTTTGTTGTAGGGGTGCTCCGATCAGGATTTTTGAGGCCGATCACCGATCACAGAAAGCAGTATCTGCCGATACCCATCACCGATACCGATCTTTAGGATTTTTAGACATTTATTCAGGGCCTGAATTTCATTTTTGAAAATTGGGGGAATTCCCCTCTTAGGTGACTCTTGTGAGAGG